CGAAGTGTCAAAGTGCCGAATAGCCCAAGTCCTGAATTTCGGAATGCAGAATCGAAAATTTTTCCTATGCACATGCCTATTCAATATGCTGTGCAATTTTGGTCACCTGTTCTAAAGAAACATATCATGGCACTAGAAAAAGTGCAGACACGAGCTACAAAATTGAAAAAAGGAATGGAGCATTTTAGTTATGAAAAAAGGTTAAAAAGTTTAAATCTGTTTAGTTTGGAAAAAACGGGGCCTGAGAGGGGCAAGTGGAAACGTTCTGATGGGGTGCTGGGGAGATTCTCATTCGTGGAATGAACGAGCTGGGAAACAACCCACGAAAGCTCCACCTGGTTGGTGTTCATCTAACAAAATGGCGGCTACCCAGGGGAATGCTCATTAATGGTTTCCCTTACGGTTTGTGGTTTGACACTTACGAGGTGAGAACGTTTTAACCTAGTGTTCTAAATGAGGTTTCGGGGTGGTCCCCATTCGGGAGGTAAATGAATTCCCTTCATGGAAGCACTCCCAAATGGTGAGCGGGCGCAATACACGAAAGGATACAGAAATACACATAATATAAAAAGGGAAATTCACGAACAGGCAGCAGTTCCGCCACAGGCATCTAACCCAAAAATAGTGCTTCCTTACTATATATCAGATGCAGTAAAGCACCTGTCCAACTTAAGACACTATCGCTTTGCTACCATACCCTCATGGAGGCTCTGCAAAGTCAGACTTTAAATTTATATCACAATGGGCATCAGAAAGAATACTGTCTCATTATTCAACACAATAGCATGTGACACTTAATGCACTCACAGGCAGAACAACCTGTTACTCCCAGGGACACAAAAAAAACACCAACAAAGGGACACAAAAATGTATATATCGATGGTACTTCAAACTTAGTCGTCTCAACAAGATATACCCAGGGGTATCTAAAACTTGCTGGAGATGTGGTGTAACGGATCGCCTAGCACCCCGACTGGGTACCTCCGTTAAAGGATGCTCCTAGCGCTTCCTGAGGACTCCAAGCACTGCAGCTGACACCACAATCACCGAACCAGAGAAGCATATGAATCCTCTCAATCATATGAATGCTGTAGACAGTTGAATAGGAACCATACGAATAGGTTTACTCTCCTAGCAGTCAAACTGGAACAGCATACAATAAATCCTTCCCCCAATAATGAGATGACACTTCACTTTGAGGGTTAAAACAGGAACTCCCTGTACTGTCACATACAGTCTCTTTTATTCCCAATCCACAAACATAGTACAGCCCACAGGGCGTTACAAAACAGCCAATCAATCCATACAATACACCCAGACACTCCCACACAAAATCCTCCCAGAGAAATACAGTTTCATAAAACACATCACAGGGACCCCAAAACATGCAATGACCCCATAAAAAGTATATCATTGGAACTGGGGGATCTGGGTGAACCACATAGCCAAAATTCACCCAGATCCATTCAGTACTTTGGAAAATACAGTTTAATGCAGATTCTGCAGAACATATACAGGCTAAATAAAAAACAATCACTGTATAATGTGTCCCCTGCTGTATAGACCAAAACCACCGCATGATGTCTCTGTGCAACAAATACTGGCGAGATGGCACCGTGTTGAAAAGTCCAAACAGTGTCTGGGAGTTAAAATGGCCGCCATCCATTGTTCTCACCATGTGCTTCTGATACTGGAAATGGTGGCCACCCAGTAACTCCACAGTATGTCCCCAGATGGTTCTTAAAAGGGCCAGAAGCAGCACAACACAAATCCATCATGCCCAAACCATGTCCCTAAAGGGCAATACATTATTAACAGTGCATTACATTACACGCTATAACATACAATAGGAACCCCATACCGGCAACCCTTAAAGAGACAGTACTGAAAGGGTTAATGTTGTAATGGACTCTAATCCCCTCGGTTCTCGATCCCTCGGTCACCATAATCAACGTTGATGGAGAATCATTTGTAAGCAATAACACACGGACAACAGCTTTACAAGACTCTCAAATGAGTGTATTCCAGAGCTGGCTTTTATACATAGTTTGCTTACATTAGCCATGGTATATGCAAATACAGTACAGACTATAAGATTTATTACTTCCTTATATTACGTTATTCTGACAATGGAAAGATAAGCTTTTGCATACGTCTGGGGAAAAGTATCCTGAAATCGGAATGGGCAAGACATCCTAAAATTTTGCATTGTCTTACATCCTATAGAAGAAATACCTTAGTCTGTCACAGTCAGCATATTATGTCGTACATTGAGTTTAAGTATTCAATATCCTTTCAGACAGCAATAATCATGTTATAAACCTTATAAAAGCATAAAATACATATAAACAAGGAAACTATTTCATATTTCTTACATTCCCCTCTTTGAGCAATTAATTTGCTCATCTTATCGATAAAATCTTACCAGGACAGAGAAACCTCCACATGGTATTTTCAGGGGTGCTAGTCACTCCCTGCGGGACTTTCATTAATTTCTTCACCTCGATTCCCATGTGGTAATTCCTAAGGCCCAGTTTAAAGATGGGTTGATACCCTCCAGTGGCAGAGAGGAGAATTTCTAATTGTTTCTGTTCAGCATTATGGATTAATTTCTGTACTCTCTTCCTCAATGTACAACTAAGGTGACAGTTATATAAAACCATACACAATAAAATCAGAACTATAATAACAAAAGGATAGAAGAATGATTTCATTATCTGGGATCCAGTAGGGGACCAACCAGTAAAGCATCGTACCAATGATGGGCTAAATCATTCTGAATTAGTGAACTCACCTTAAGGAGTTCTCCTTTTAGGATATGTGTGGCTACCTGTGTGTGTTATCTTTGGGAAAAATATAGTCCCCTGTGTATGTGGGTGCCCACCAGGTTAAATTCTTGGCAAAAAGATAATAAACTGGTACTGGTAATGTGTTAAATTGACAAGCTAATTTAACATCCTTTGAGGATGTATGATATAATGTAAAATAGCATGAGCATGAAAAATGTGAAACATTACCGGTTAACCATCCATTGCATTTAGTGGATTGGGGTTTTAGAAGTAACCATTCATTATCTGTGAGGTTACGCTTTCCTCTAATCTTCTCTAGTTTAGGAATCATTAGTGTGCTTTCTAATGCCAATCCTTGTTGTTGTATCCATAAATACCTGATGGCACAAGTACTCCAGTTACTTAGACCTGTAGTGAATTTCATAGTTGCAACAGTTAAATTATCTAAATAATTATACATTGATTTATCTAAATCCAATCCTATAACCTGTGATTTAACAACAATTGGAGCCCAATTTGCAGTAGCATGAAAACCAGTCCCTATATGCATGCTGGCTGTGTTTAACTTATTCTTGAGGGTCTCCATATCTATAACTATTTAGTAACAGGAGTAGTGATTTTTAATGACACATGTACAGCTTGTAAGAAGGCAGTTGTATTAATACATGTGGACGGAATAAGTGTGTGTGTGTCGTTGTTGACTTTTGGTTCTATGGTAGTGGATAAAGGACAGTAATAAGGTGTAAAAATATAAGGTAGTGTATAGTTCTCAATTGCAGTGTCGTTCATAATGACTAACATTTGTCCCCTTTTCCAATTAATGATACCAGTTATATAATCATTATTAAAAGTAATAAGGCCTGTCTGTTTACATTGATATTCAACCTTAACTGTGCACATTTCTGCGTTATAAGATCTAACAATTTTCCGTGAACCTTCAAACAAACATAATGCATCGGTTTCATTAGCTGTAGACACATTTCATATGGGTAACTGGTACTTATAAGGGTTACTATTTGTCCAATTCATCCAAATGAGTTCAGTGAATGAATGATTGCATATTACATGCTGATAGAAAGGTGGTGGAGAAAGGTTCTTGAGGGGGCATGTGTGACGAATGCTAGATGAGGGGCTAAGGCCTAATTGGGCTGGGGGTATTGAAGAATTGTTCATCATGTCAGAGTCTTTTTTCCAGAAACAAACAGGTTTCAAACTTGCCATTGACTTGTACTCATAATGGCATTCAAGGAACAATATCAGAGGGAGTATAACAACTCCAGAAAGCATAGCGCACAACATAATCTTGGTCTCAGGTACGTATGATCCTCTCAATCTACAATATGGTGTGAAAGCCATGATGCTTCGCTGAGGAGAAATTCTTCTGTTTCCGAGCGAGGAGTGGTGTTGTCTTCCTTGGTTCCCCTCTTTGGACACAGCTTCACTCGGGATGCGTGAATCCAGATGTCATGGGAATCTGTGAGGACAGCGGTTCTGGGTACAGCAATCACAGTAGCAGGTGGTCCAAAAGGGTATCCTCCTTTCTTGGTCCTGTTCAGCTGACGGATATACACCTTGTCACCGGGCTGGTATGAATGAGTAGGTTCCTGTGAAGGTAAGGGAAAACTGCGAAGAAACATTGTCATACATACCATTCGGTTTTATCAACAATTCCTGTACATATTGTTCTTGTATTAGCTGTAAATCCCCAGACATTATAACAAGCGGTTCCCTGGCCCAGGGTGTGGGAAAAGGTCATCCCATCAAAATCTCAAATGGAGATAATTTAGTCACCTTGTGGGGATTCATTCTTATCTCAGCTAAAATAGCTGGTAGATATCTAGTCCAATTTACCCATGTTCCTGGGTAAATTCTGGGCTTTTCCTTAATAGTCCTATTCATCCTTTCAACTACCCCTGTATGCTGTGGATGATAAGGTATATGAAACTGCCAGGTAACTTGCAAGAATTTAGCAAGTTCCTGGGCAACCCTACTGGCAAAAACCGGGCCATTATCAGAGCCAATCTGCAGAGGGCAGCCATACCTGGGAATAATTTCAGTAACAATAAACTTCACTAGCATCTTCCCTAGATGTCACAAAGGCCTCATGCCATCTACTAAACTGAGCAACTATGACCAGTAAGTATTGCTGTTTCCTACCAATTTTGGATACATGAATAAACTCAATCTGTAAGTGTGTAAAAAGAGCAGCGTTCACACGATCTTACAAAAGACTGTACATGCTGCCTGAGATTCCTAATATAAAATGAATTCATGAGGAATTGAATGGTGCTTGCTATGTGCCTGACTGATGAAAATAAAGCAGCTTGCTTCAAATATGCCTATTCTTCAAGTATGCCTATTCTCCCCTCTTTAGAGAACAGATCATTTTGATCTTTCTCTAAACCTTGTTTAATCCAAAAGACAGATTCTGGGTATTAAAAAAAAGAATCTCATAACCACTTAAGTGCTGGGCTGTCATGTGTTGTGTGGTGAGATTTGTTATCAGCTGAGTGACCTGGTGACTGGCATGAAGTATTGTATGATGCCCTAGTGTGATAGTAGTAGCAGTTTCAACAGCCATTGCACATGCTATCAATGCTCTGAGACACGCCGGCATACCCTGTACCGGAGCACGAACTACTTTGGAAAAGAATGCTATGGGACGCATACCGCCTCCTTGCTCTTGTGCACAGACTGCGGCCATGGTTTTACAATTGTCCCAAGCATACAAATGAAATGGTTTACAATACACAAGTAGTCCTAAAGCCTGGGCTTGCACAATAACAACTGTAAGGGCAATATATGCAGCTAGCATGTCTGGTGACCAGCAGACATTTTCAGGGCTGTCAGAACGTACAGCCTCCCTTAGGATTGAGTCATAATGGGAGCATTCAGGGATTCATTGGTGGCAGTAATTAATCATGCCGAGGAAGGTGAGCAACTCCTTCCGAGTAGTGGGTGTAGGAATCCTCTGAATGACCTCAATACGTTTTGGACTCAATTGTCTGGTGCCTAAAGCCAGAACAAAACCTAAGTATTCAACCTTTGATTTACACAATTGCATTTTGTGTTTAACAACCTTGTGACCTACAGTTGCTGACAGTATCCACAGTGCTTGCCTCATAGCTAGGGCTACATAACAACAAATCATCAACATTTTGCAAAAAGGACGGAACCATGACCGATGGTCCATGTTTTTTTTTTTAGAGTATGTTGGAGTACCAACGAATAAACAGCTGGGGAATCCACATAGCCTTGGGTAAGCGTGTCCAGGTAAACTGACAGCCTTCAAAAAGTAAAAACCATAAGTAGCCGTGTCTCTTGATCAATAGGTATAGAAAAAAATGCATTACTTAAATCAATGACAGTGACGCAAGTGGCATCATGTGGAATGGCTGTAATGAGGGATGTCACGTCAGGGACAATGGGTGAAATGGGCACAATTAAACTATTCAGGGCTCTAAAGTCCTGAACTAAGCGATATGCTGGCCAGTGGTGTTGGGAGTGAATCTGGTGTTGTTCTTGCCTACCGGGCATATTTTGAGAATTGTGGGGTTGGTGGGGTGTGTGGGGTTTGATGGGGTTTCCTGGGGTGTGGACACTCATTCCTCCAGTGGCCGTATTGTCCACAGTTGAAACAAGTGTTCCTGTCTATTCCTCCTTGGTTTCCCCTGCCCCTATAACCCTGATTTCCCTGTCTCCATCCCCTTGCCCCTCTTTGACCACCCCTTCCACGGGCTTTATGTGCTCCATCCCATCCTTGCTCTCAGCCTGTGTAGGTGGCAATCCCTGAGCATAATAAGCAACCTTACTTTCCTAAATCTTTTCTTAATTCAGAACAACCTGCATTTTCCTTTTCTATAACCTTGGTAAGAAAATCTGAGCTATCCAAATTGGCCCAGTCTGAAATCAATTGTTTCACAAGCAAAGAATACTGTGGCAACATATTACCAAGGCATGACTGTATTTTAAAGAGATCTATATCATCTCCAGACATCAAACCTGCCTCATCCTTCCAACACTTGTAAAATTTATTTACAAAAATCATATTGCCAATCTCTTCCTTTGCATCTTCCTTATATGCCAAATCAGTGAATATAGACTGCTTATTCTTCCATAATCCCAACATTTTAGCTTCCACCTTGTTCCAAATTTTAGCACATCTTACTGAAGTACTAAACTCATAATCACCAATTCATTTCAAACCATATAACTCATACTCAGCATCCAATGTAATATTACACGTCATCTCACAAAACAATATTTTTGTAAAAACACATAATGGGTACCCAGCAGATATGCCAATACAGAAATCACATTTATGGGCACACAACTACACACTCTGTCTCCCTCCTAGGAAACACGGATAGACACAATATAAAAGCAATCTTAAACTAACACCTCCAAATCTCCAACTATTCTTGGCCAAAACGCTAGTATTCAACAACTAATAAAACAGTTATTTGCTAGGTTATTTGGCTGTCATCCTTATCAGTATCACTAGACTGTGACAAACTGATTCACATATAATTTAAAACAATACAGCAACATATAAATTAAACCACTTTCAAGTTAAACTGCACACTTATCACACATTATCACAATCACCATTTACACAGAATAAACAGTTAACAGCTGTATCCAGAACATATTATTGGAAGGTATACCAATTTTAGTTTAGATTTATTTTAGGGATTCTTATGTATACATTTTCTTAATTAACTTCATTACTTTAATCTACTATAGTATTGTATATAAAGAAAGGATCCATTTATATAGCGCGCTCATAACTCAACTATTTGTATAAAACTACCATTAACTAATCTGAGATGATGCTGCATCAACTTAAATCTTATAGAAATTTTGCAAACATCTGGACCAGATTAAACAGACATGGTTTCACCTGAATCTTTCAGAACTCTCAGAGACTTAAAAATTTATACTATACCATGTTTTAAAGGCATGGCAAACCTTTAGACCGGTCAGTCTCCAAGAGCCCTTAGTAACACAGGTAAAAACCTTTGTCCATGATGTCTGATTCAGGCTATATACCACAATTAAAAAATAACACATAATGTGAGACATAGAAGACACAAGCAGTAGTTATTACACTGGATGATTTAAAAGGAATCTGTTGCAATAAAAAGGTTAGTTTACAGTGCAAAATAAAGCATGTGTTGGACCGCTGAAAATGTAAATGTTGCTCTGTTATTTTCAAACAAAAATCATATTTACAGTATGGATCCTTTGCAACAAACACACAGGGCAGGGAAGATGTGCTGATTGGTGTTTCTATACAATTAATCCCATATGGGGAATTAACTTTCAAATACTAATGAAGTGACTTTTTGTCTCAGTTATAAAATATACTGAGCTCATCATGCAAACAATGCAACACATTTACACTATCCCACTCTCATAATAAGTGTAGTGGGCTTATAGTATTTTTAAAGCAACAATCATACCAGGCACATAGATCCCATGTGAAATAACTTACAATAAAACAGAGTAATAAACTTATACTTCTATGCGACAGAAAGAATAAAGTAAAAAGATTTAAGTAGGTCTATCAGGTACAACCTGTGAGTCATTTCTTTTCTAATATACAGTACTGCTATCTTGCAGAAAGATAAGTCCTACGCTCACTCCCATCACTACTGGGCAGCAGCAAGGACTACAGTACACATCAGCCCCAATATATGGTAAAAACCAAAGAAAAACAAGTTACCTGCGTTCTCTCCTTAATCACTATGTATTTTTAAAACCTCCATTTGTTTAAAAGTACTGCTATCTTATATATACACATATACATATACACACACATATATACATATACACACACATATATACATACATATATACACATACATATATACATACACACACACATATATACACATACATATACACACACATATATACATACATACATACATATATTGGTCACTCAGGACATGAACTCACATTTCCCATACTGCTGACTCAGAGTGGGGACACTACTAACTTACCAAAGTGTGTCCCCAATATAGACAAACAATCACCCACAAAAAACACTTAAGACAAACAAAGGTGACCGGGAGAAAGAGAAGTTTGGGTTATACTTATAGATCTACAAACCGTGCTGCTCAGAACACCTATAGACTTAATAAACCGGAGACCTCTTCTGGTCTCAAAAACCTGTATCTACCTGAGATACCCTGTATCTATCTTAGATACTAACCTGGGTTACCAAAACCCTATAATAAACCGGAGACCTCTTATGGTCTCAAAAACCTGTATCTATCTTAGATACTAACCTGGGTTACCAAAACCCTATATATATTTAGACCAAATGTCTAATAAACCGGAGACCTCTTATAGTCTCAATATAAACCAGAGACCTCTCATGGTCTCAATATAACTAGAGTCCTTACACCTTTCCTATCTACTGGATACAGACTTACTGAACCAAAGGGGGATCATAGACAATCAGCGTCAAATAAGACACAAAAAGGCTACTCACCGCAAATGGTTTTGCTGATCCAACTTCTATCCCACTTCTAGACACCAAGCTGAAAGGGTTAATGTTGTAATGGACTCTAATCCCCTCGGTTCTCGATCCCTCGGTCACCATAATCAATGTTGATGGAGAATCATTTGTAAGCAATAACACACGGACAACAGCTTTACAAGACTCTCAAATGAGTGTATTCCAGAGCTGGCTTTTATACATAGTTTGCTTACATTAGCCATGGTATATGCAAATACAGTACAGACTATAAGATTTATTACTTCCTTATATTACGTTATTCTGACAATGGAAAGATAAGCTTTTGCATACGTCTGGGGAAAAGTATCCTGAAATCGGAATGGGCAAGACATCCTAAAATTTAGCATTGTCTTACATCCTATAGAAGAAATACCTTAGTCTGTCACAGTCAGCATATTATGTCGTACATTGAGTTTAAGTATTCAATATCCTTTCAGTCAGCAATAATCATGTTATAAACCTTATAAAAGCATAAAATACATGCTGGATAGGAAACTATTTCATATTTCTTACAAGTACAAAATAATGTCCAAGTGGCTAGGTTTGCCACATGTGGCCTAGGAGAAGGTACCATGACACACATCTGGTTGCCGTGTTCGATAATTAAACCATTGTGGTCCAAGGTCCAAGGACTCTTTCAAGACCTATTTACCACAAACATCCCAGTCACTATTGATATTTGCCTATTTCTCATATTTTCACCTGACACACCTCTGGCCACAAAGCAAGTGGCGACTCATATAATACTCGCTGCTGGCAACCCCAATGCGTGCTCATGGTAACAACCTACTTGCCCAACACTTGCACAACTTACAAATATAAGAAGATGTCTCCTACTTTGGTAGCCAGATCCACAAAGGTGATGAGTTCCTGGCAATCATGGTTAGATTACAGAAACACGACCACAGTGAGCCAAATAATATAGAGCTTATTCTCCAGTTTTCATCGGCAGAAATGCATATACACAAAAGATAAACCCAGTGCAACGGCTG